TGCTCTGATACCATGAGAAAGTACGAACGAGGAGTGAAATGACTATGAATGAAGTGAGTACAAATAGGAAACCCTAATTGGGTTGTACCCCCTATGGGATACCCCACTATAGCCTACAGAAACAAGTAAGCTATGAGTTCTGACATCCCATACCGCGCATAGACGACCTACTCGATCAACTGCGTGGAGCAACAGTAATTTCGAAGCTGGACCTACGATCGGGCTACTGGCAGATCAAGAATGCAGACAACTCCGTCCATAAGACAGCGTTCCGTACCAGATACGGCTCCTACGAATACTTGGTGATGCCTTTCGGACTCTGCAACGCACCAGCAGCGTTTCAGGCGGAGATGAATCACATCTTACGACCCCTGCTGGACGAGTGCGTGGTGGTATACCTGGACGACATTCTCATCTACTCTAAGAACATGAAGGAGCACGTGGAGCATCTACGGAAGGTGTTCGAGATCCTGCGGAAAAACAAGTTCTACTTGAAGCTGTCAAAGAGAGACTTCGCCCTGAAGAAGGTGCAGTTTCTCGGGCACATGGTGAGTCCCGAGGGCGTACACGTGGACCCACGGAAGATCGAAGCCATCAAGAAGTGGAAAGTACCAGAGAACGTGAAGGAGTTACAGCAATTCCTAGGCTTCGCCAACTACTACAACAAGTTCGTGCCGCAGTACGCTAAGATAGCAGCGCCACTGACCGACCTACTGAAAAAGGATACGCCCTACAAATGGGATACTCTTCATCAGTAAGCCATGGAGCAGCTACAGACAGCACTGACTACAGCGCCAGTACTCATCTTGCCGGATCCAGACAAGGACTACGTGGTGGAAGCAGACGCTAGTGACCAAGCAGTCGGAGCAATACTGATGCACGATCACGGACGCGGTTTGTAGCCCATTGCCTACCTCAGTATGAAGCTACACGGAGCAGAACTAAACTACCCCATTCACGACAAGGAAGCCTTAGCGATAGTCATAGCCTTCAAGGCGTGGAGGTGTTACCTAGAGGGAGCCAAGACTACAGTCTATACTGACCACTGCAGTCTCAAATACCTGAAGTCACAGCCGACACTCTCACGACGACAGGTGCGGTGGGTGGACTTCCTGGAAACTCACTTCCACTACGACATCGTCTACAAGCCCGGGCTACACAACAAGGCAAACGCGTTGAGCCGCCCCGGACATGTACCAGGCATCTAGCTCGACGGGATGAACCCTCTGCTCAAGAATCTATTCCAACATGGGTACTCCGTGGACGCAGAGATTGCTACAGCACAGACCAAGAAGCTATTACAGTGGGAGAAAGACTTAGCTGTAAGGAAGGGTTCAGGAAAGATTTGGGTACTGAATTACGCCCCGCTACGGCAGATCCTATTGGAGGAGTTTCACGACGTACCTTACGCGGGACATTTCGGGAGCAACAAGACGTTAGCAGGGATAGCGAAGTATTACTACTGGCCCGGGATGGCAGCAGACGTGCAGCAGTTTGTCACCTCTTACGACACGTGCCAGCGGATGAAGAGCGGCAAGCAGAAAAAAGCAGGGTTACTTCAGCCTCTACCCATACCGGAGCAGCCATGGCAGGTCGTTAGCCTCGACTTCATCACAGGGCTTTCTTCAACCTCACGGGGACATGATTCCATCCTGGTGGTGATCGATAAGTTCTCCAAAATGGGTCACTTCATACCGACCAACGCCACAGCTACAGCTGAAGCAGCTGCTCGACTCTTCTTCGACCGCATCATCACCATCCACGGCATCCCCGCTACACTCATCTCAGACAGAGACCCCAAATTCACGAGTAAGTTCTGGAAGGAGCTCATGGGACTGTTGGGGACAAAGCTTGCAATGTCTTCAGCATACCACCCCAAGACTGACGAACAGACAGAGCGACTCAATCAAGTGGTTGAACAGTTACTGCGCACAGCTTGCAAGGACGACGTCAGCCACTGGGACACACAGTTACCGACCCTAGAGTTTGCTTACAACAACGCATCACATGCGGCCACAGGAAAAACTCCTTTCTTCCTGTGTTACGGACGGGAACCACTCACACCACAGCTGCCAACTACACCGGCACACGTCCAAGCCGCACATGACTTCGTCACCACCATGCAGCAGCTATGGGAGAAGACTCTGCGACGTCTCACCACGATGCAGAACTCCCAGAAGCAGTATGCCGATCGTCAGCGACGTGATCACTCAGTAGCAGTCGGAGATCAGGTGCTTCTTGACACGCGCAACTTGAACCTGTCTCACCTCCCATCCAAACTCCGGCCTCGCTTCTGTGGTCCTTTTCTCGTTGAGGCACAGGTGACACCAGTTACATTCCGCTTGCGCTTACCAGATACATGGAAGCTTCACAACGCTTTCCATGTCCAGCTACTGAAGCCCTACAAGGACCCCAACCAACAGTTCCAGGGACGGCAACTACCGCCACCACCACCTGTTCTCACACAGGATGAACCCGAGTACGAGATCGAGCAAGTTCTCTCTCATCGGCGCCGCGGTGGCAAGACTCTCGAGTTCTTGATACGCTGGAAGGGATACGACCCCACTGAGGACAGTTGGGTTACAGAAGCTGATATGGGCAACGCACGTCGTGCTCTCAAGGACTATCTTGTCAAGCAGGGTGTATCTCACGCCACCCAGCTTTGAGGGGGGGACGTGTGAGAGTACGACGGCTTATGCCAGCTATGCTTGCTTGCCTCTACTTTATCATGCTATTTCTAGCATTGGATAATCATATGCATGCATGAATTGCTTGATTTCCTAGGCTAGGTGCTTTCCTATATTTTATTATAGTTATAGCACCGAGCTAGGTTGCGTGCACCGAATTCTGGCTTTTCGGTTGCCACCGAATTGCCTTCTACCGAATTCGGTAAGGATCTGTTTGGGACGCTTCGCGACCCGCGGAACCTTCGCGTAACACCTGGTTACGGGGCCTTGTGTCGAGCCTATATATAGCCTCGTGTTGTACCAAGGTGGACATTCAATTCAATTCAATTCAATTTGGATCATCTTTTCTGAGCTCGATCCTAGATCCTCACATCATCGCTAAGCATAACGGTGATCGCCACTGCTGTCCAGTCGCATACGAGCCCGACGACCTCATTCTGATCGTCACTAAAATCCTCCGCCTGCCCATCACTACGAAGCTCAGCCCACTAAACTCAGCCACGTGATCACACCTGACACCGCCCACCTCCTTCATCCCGCTAATTGTTACGTCAGCCCGTCACTTCACGTCAGCTTACTCCGCCCATGCGTCCCATCCACCAGTCAATTGCCCCGCAACTGGGAGTGGCTTAAACAGTCATCATGTGTAGACAATTCGGAAACAGACGGGATGGGACAGCATTGCGATATTTTTGTGCCGTCGACCAATTCCGGGGTGCGGCAGAACCGACAGGATGGGGTGGGACTGTCAGCATAGTATAGCTCAGCCGACAAAAAAGGCCGCCCAATTTCGCGGTAGGGAAAGGACAACATCCCCTCTCGGGGTTGACAAACACCTGACGACCTCCGCGTGGAAAGCTCGGGCGAACAGTCTGGGCTCAGTGCTAGCGGGCCTTCGGGATTGACGACGACTTGACGACCTAGGTTTGCGCTGAGACAATCCCGAGAAGTACGTTGCAGCGTGTGGAAAAAAACCAGCTCGGCACGTCGAGCCGCGATTAACGCCACGCGACAACAAAGGGACGTCCGAGATCGTCCCCAACTTGGCGGGGCCACCGAGGAGTGCCACGACAGCCACGACGGGTCCACACAGCACCTGTTGAGCCGGGGTGCTTTGCGTGGGAAATATTCGCGCTGAACCAAGGCCAAGTCGGTGCGTACCACGCGGCCTCCTTCCCAGCGTTACCCAGATGCTCAAGGCGACATCGCGACCGTCCCCTTCTCAGGCTAGGTGCAATGGATGTTCAGGCGGAGGGAATGTCGGCGTGGACCACATGAGCATCTTTGAGGTGCCATGCGTCAGTGCCTAACGCCCTCGAACTACTGCGCGGGAATTCTCCATCACGGTATTCTAGGAGGGATGCACCAAGATTGGGACCACGCCACGTAGCGCAGGCACGACCCTGCGTGTAACAGCCATGAAAAGCGCTTCCTGGGCGAAGCGCTTTTGGCAAACAGCCATGCATGGCTGGTGGCACTTCGGAGACGGCGCCGCCGCATGAGGGTACATGCATTGCGGCATCCTGCACAGGGAGTTGCGTGGAGCGCGGCAGGTGCGGAGTCGCCCACGACCATACCCATCCGGGGCCCCACTGAAGGTCGCTCATTCTGCCTTCCATTCTGGGTTCGTTCCAATTTTTTCTACTCCCTTTCGCACTCCACGCGTGCAGGACAGTCGGTTCGCCGACCAGACGTCGTAGTCGGCGTCGCCACAATAGCCAGACAGACTGATACGAGACGTCGCAGATAATTGTTTAGGAGACCGACCGGTAGGATACCGCCGACCACGAGGTCTAGCGCAACACAGCCGCACTCCAACCAACCCACCGCCGACACTGTAGACGCCGACATTAAAGTGCAACTGGCACGGGTAGATATTGGCGCTGAGCTTGATGCCTGCGAAGCTTATCAAATAAACACCGCCAGCGGGACTCATTACCGCCTAGACTAGGCCGCCAGGATCCACGTTCACGGTAGACCAAACGCCTAAAATCACATGGCCGACGTTGACATGACAGGCGGTCCTACCCCTGCGAGCCATGGGGGAGACGGACGACCGGTGGAGCGTACACCGACCAATAACCCCTCGTTGACCCTGCCGTTGCTTTACGATCTCAACCCAAATCCCGAAAGGATGACGTCGAAGACAGCCCATGGCCTCGACGGGGCGCAGGTCCGCGCACGTTGGAAGAGAAGCTCAGAGGGGAACGTGCGTTCATAGAGGATCTGTTGAACGAGGACGAGCTTGAGGACCTGTTAAACACGGCCGTGCCACGAGAACACTGGAAGGCGGCCGACTTCGTCGAAGAAGATATGGTCTACGCGTGCGTCGCCGTACTCGTGATGGAAGCAATGCGCCACCGGAAAACCCTAGAGGCTAAGAGCACGCTCAAGCTGTACACCTCTTGGATTTACCACTACAAGAGGTGGGCGGCGAAGATGCTGAAGGGAATACGCAACAAGCTTCTGGATGAGGGAAGAACGAGGCACGTCGACGAAATCAGGCACTGGATCCACTGCAATAAGAGCAAGGATTGGGACAACGAGAAGGTGGTCCGGCGTAAGTACATCTGGCTGCATGGCCCGCGTGTCACTGAAACGCGACTGCGCGCCTACATCAAGTACAAGATCGACACCGAGTCGAACGCGTCGGTGAAAGCGAACACGGTGCACATGATCCTCGGCCGCATCAAGGCCTGCCAGATGGCGGCAAAGGGTGGAGGCGACGCTCTACAAGGAGAAGTAGTTGGGCATCATGCGGGAAATCTTGGTGGTACGGTCGGAGGTGCGAGTCATGGTCCGCACCAAAAATCAGAGTGACGTCAGGTAAGTTGGCATACACCGCCGAGTTCTGTAGCCATTGATTTGTGGTCGACGACGTAAACTCATATTTTCTTATTGCTTCATCGATAGGAATTGCGTAGACCGTCAACACGACACCATCGGCGACACATACACCGCCGAACAGTTCCGCCAGATCATGATGAGGGTGCTACCTACCTGGACGGCGTCGACGTGGAGCCCGCGGGCAACCACTCCTTTTGCAGACGCTATGGAGGTTTCTTCTTGTCAAGGTGCTCATCCTACTCTCCCACCACAGTCACCTGAGCGGGGCCAGCATCGGCGAGATCACACTCCCATACATCTTCTTGTACCGACTCGCTAGCACCTCGTTGGTGAACCTGGAAAACCAGCCGGTCGTCATGGTGATCGCCGCGCGGAACTCGAAGACATCCAAGGATGCACGTATTCAGCAGAGCTACGCGGCGTGGCACCTCGAAGCGGAGTTGTGCGCCGTCGGCGAGGCCGGCCTGTGGCTGCACTTTATCCTCGACTGGATCGGCCAGTTTCACGGCGCCGACCTCATTCCGCCGGTGGACACCAGCACGCGCGAGCGCTCGTACAAGAAGCACATGTTCTTTGCCCGCAACGATGAGGAGCAAAATGAACTCCCTGCTGCCAGCCACCAGCAATGGATGAGGCAGATGTGGAAGACGAACGGGGTGTTCCGCAAGCGGAACGTCCACGCCGCTCGAGCAGGCAGGGCGCAGGAGATGGCCATCGGTGGTACGTATCGCGCCGAGATAGCCGAGCTTGGCCACTGGGCGATCAACAAGATGACTCGAGCTTACATCACAGCCATTTCCGTCGGCGTGGTGATGAAGAAGGCCGGCTATTCGGGTGCCAAGCAAGACTACTTCTTGGGTCGCAGTAGGGTGCCACCCTTCGATGAACTCCTGGAGCTCATCGCCAAGCACATCTTCCCCAGCGTTGACGACCTGCTTAAGAAGGTATTTTAATCGACGAAGCCAACGTTACATGTAATATCGTCCGACCAACCGACTGCAATCACTCGCTTCTGTTGTCAAATCGCAGGCGGAAGAACTCGCAAAAGAGGGGTCTGAGGCCGACATCGCCGCTGTGCATTTCAGGCGTACCCTCCAGATGTTGCGCCGCATCGTCACCGAAGACGTCGCTGTGAAACTCATTTGCACCCCTTGACATCCGTACGTCCAATATTCCAAGCTCTGCAGGGTTCCCCTCTTCCAGCACTTGGCGAAGAGGGTCGAGAAGGTTGACACCGAGATGATAAAAAAAAGCGCCGAGACCCGACCCTCATTGAGCCCGAGGTGAGCCATTGATCAAGTCAACGTCGCCCTAAGCCTAGTGAACGCAACAACCCTTCACATTCAATGTCAATCGCCGACCATTGTAGGAGATATCTGTCCGCATGGACGCCAAACATGTGGTCATGTTGCTCACCGATACCCCGAAGTACAAGAGGGAACGGTCAGCGGTCTAGAAGATTGACCTCGAAGAGGATATCGAGAAGCACGACGCCACCATCGCGATGCTGACGGCTGAGATAACCCGTCTCACCGAGGCACTCCGCGTCTCAAAAGCAAGGAGGATGCCAGAGGCGCCGCCATCTGCGAACGAGTAGTCGCCGAAGCACCAGTGGCTCCGCGGACTAGGCAAGTTCGGGTGCCAGAGCCAAGAAACCCCCGAAACTCCCACAGACGGTCGAAGAGGCTAGTTACGAGCTCAACGTGGTGCAGCCTTGGCGGGATGCAATGACCGTGAGGGATGCGTGGCGCCTCTAAACTTCCTGCACCAGCTCCGAGGACACACGTCGTCTATGCGACAGGTTCGCAAAGCCGGGATTTGTCGACCGCCACACCCTCCTCAAAGGCGCGACGCATGGAGCACTCGGGAAGAGGATGCGCCACATGATAAAGGTCATTGATGCAGTGCGCCATCTTCCCCGGAGCGACGGCGAGGCCGACACAGAAGCCGTCGTCGCTGCGCTTAACAAGATCGCGGCACGTGGCATTGGGACCTTCTCGGATGCCCTCACTGTGCTCAACGCGGACACCATAGCGACGTACTCCGAGCCGGGTAAGGGCGTTAAGGGGCTCGGCAAGAGGGAAGTTTCCAAGCTTCGTGTCGCCTGTGCGTTCATGGCTCGCGGGCTGAAGCCAGAAAAGTGGGTCGCCGAGCTGTTCCCGGACACCTGGAAGGAGCAGATGAAGATGACGTTGGCCGACATGGCCTAGGAGGACGCTGTGCAGCTGCCCCCGACCAAGACGTCGACCAAGCGCAAGAAGACCACGTAAATACTCTCGGCGACATATTACTGTGGGATTTTGCATGTTATAGATGGTGATGCAGCTTTCATAGTTTTCAGACTGTTATAGTTGTCCACTTCAACGCCCGATTTGATATTGTAAAAGTTGTCAATTGCAACCACTTGTAGCATGATTGTGTGCTTCTCACATTGCAACCCGGCGGCATCGCACACACAACCCGTACATGTCAGAACTTATAGCTTACTTGTTTCTGTAGGCTATAGTGGGGTATCCCATAGGGGGTACAACCCAATTAGGGTTTCCTATTTGTACTCACTTCGTTCATAGTCATTTCATTCTCGTTCTTTGTTTCCACATGGAATCAGAGCAGGTTCCCTCCTAGGGACTGCTTCTAGGGCCCACCGAACCGCGCCCCGAGGCGCGTTCTTTTTTTTAGCGACCCGTCGTGTCGCCCCTAGCGGACCGTTGCGCCGCCCTTCCCCTCGCGGCTCCGCCGCCCTTCCCTAGCGGCCCCGCCGCCCTTCGATCGCGGCCCCGCCGCCCTCTGCTACGCGGCCCCGCCGCCGCCCTTCGATCGCGGCCCCGCCGCCCTCGGCTACGCGGCCCCGCCGCCCTCTGCCTCGCGGCCCCGCCGCCCTCTGCTACGCGGCCCCGCCGCCCTCTGCTACGCGGCCCCGCCGCCCTCTGCTACGCGGCCCCGCCGCCCTTCAATCGCGGGCCCGCCGCCCTTTACCACGCGGCCCCGCCGCCCTCTGCTACGCGGCCCGCCGCCCTCTGCTACGCGGCCCCGCCGCCCTTCGATCGCGGCCCCGCCGCCCTCTGCTACGCGGCCCCGCCGCCCTCTGCTACGCGGCCCCGCCGCCCCCTGCTACGCGGCCCCACCGCTCTCTTCGGTCGCGACCCCGCCGCCCTCTGCTACGCGGCCCCGCCGCCCTCTGCTACGCGGCCCCGCCGCCACTCTGCTACGCGGCCCCGCCGCTCTCTTCGGTCGCGGCCCCGCCGCCACTCTGCTACGCGGCCCCGCCGATCCGCCCAGCAGCAGCCGCCGCCGCCTGAGCCGCCGCCGAGCCGCCGCCGAGCCGCCGCCAAGCCGCCGCCGAGCCGCCGCCGAGCCGCCGCCCGAGCCGCCGCCGAGCCGCCCGAGCCGCCGCCGAGCCGCCCGTGACGCCCGAGCCGCCCGCGCCGCCCAGCAGCAGCCGAGCCGCCGCCGAGCCGCCGCCGCCTGAGCCGCCGCCGCCTGAGCCGCCGCCGAGCCGCCGCCGAGCCGCCGCCGAGCCGCCGCCCGAGCCGCCGCCGAGCCGCCCGTGCCGCCCGAGCCGCCCGCGCCGCCCGAGCCGCCTGCGGAGCCGTGCTGCTGTTCCTCTGCTACTGACCTACCCGCCTCTCCCAGCCCGGTGAGATTTTCAGCTGCTGTCATGGCCACCCCCAATGTTCTTACCTTTGACGCTGAGGGGAGGGCCATTGACTTTGCCGTCTGGATTGAAGACCTGCAGCTGTACTTACTGTGTGATGCGATAGATGAGGTCTCTCTCTTTGACTTTGTCTCTGGCGCTGTCCCTGCCCCACCTGCTGATGCTGACTCTGCCGTTCGCTCCAAGTGGGCGACCCGCGATGCTGCTGCACGTCTTGCTGTGCGTCGCCACCTCCCTTCCTCTGAGCGTGCCCACTTTAGTCAGTGCAAGACCGCTCAGGCCTTGTACGACGCTGTAGTTGCACGCTACTCCTCCCCTTCCTCCGCTACCCTTAGCCGCCTCATGCTACCGTTTCTCTTCCCTGACCTCGCTTCCTTTCCCACTGTCGCTGACCTCGTTACCCACCTCCGTGCTAGTGACACCCGCTACCGCGCTGCCCTTCCTGCTGAGTTCCGCGCTGCGAACCCTCCTCCCATGTACATCACTCTCTACTTTCTCGTCACCCGTCTCCCTGAGTCCCTTCGTGTCGTTAGGGACCAGTTTCTCTCTGTCTGTCCCACCACTCTCACTGTCGACCTCCTTGAGGAGTCCCTGCTAGCGGCTGAGAAGAGTATTGTCGCTGTAGGGGCCTCTCGGGGTGACCCTCGCACCCCCATCTTTGAGGGGTGTGGTCCTTCCCCCCTGCTGCCCTCTGTCGCCTCTGCCGCTGCGGCCGACCTCACTGGTTTTGAGTCGGTCGGCGCGGCGTCTGCCCCCAGCGGCAGACGCCGCGCTGGCAAGGGCAAAGGGGGCAAGGGAGCGGGTGGAGCTAGAGGGGGCGGTGGAGGAGGCGGTGGGGGTGGCGGGGGGAGTGGGGGTGGCGGTGGGGGTGGTGGCGGGAGTGGAGGTACTGGTGGCGGCGGTGGAGGCGGAGGTGGCGGTGGAGGTGGTAGCGGAGGAGGCGGTGGGAGCGGTGGGAGCGACGGTCCCGGTGGGGGAGGTGGCGGTGGAGACGGGAGTGGCGGTGGAGGCGGGGGTGGCAGTGGAGGCGGGGGTCGGAGTGGCTCGTCCCAGCGGAGCAGCTCCGGGGGTGGTCAGCGCCAGCAGCAGCAGCAGCAGCAGCCGCAGCAGCAGCCACAGCAGCAGCAGCGCTCTCGCACCGTCCCCGCCCCTCAGCAGCTCCGTGAGTGGTACTCGCAGCGTCAGCGTGGTGGTGCGCTTGGTCCTTGCCCCTACGTTCTCCGCACCGGTGACCGTGCAGGGGAGAGGTGTGGAGGCGCCCACACTGCCCGCCGCTGCTTTGGCCGCCTGACTGACGCCTGGCGTCAGCAGTTTCCGGAGGGAGCTGAGATCCCCCGCTGGGGAGAGCTGTCTAGGGCTGGTGTAGCTATTTATGATCTTGATTTTGATGCTATTCTCTCTGCTATGTATGCTGCGATTGGTAGTGATGAGGATGACTGTTACCGGTGTTTCCCGCCCGACCCGGGCATTGGTACTGCCGCGTCAGGTACTAGTGAGGCTGCTGCTCTAGGTGCCAGTGCATCTGTGCTCTCAGGTGCTGGTGAGTCTACCCTCTCAGGTACTGTGTCGGCTTCGGCCTCTCACACCTTCACCCTTGACTCTGGAGCGTCTCGCTCCTTCTTTCGGGACCGCACCACTCTCACGCCGCTGAGTCGGCCGGTTGCGGTGTCCCTGGCTGACCCCTCTGGGCGGCCTGTCCTGTCTCGCTTCTCCACTGTCCTCCCGTGTCCGGCGGCCCCCTCTGGCACCCTGACTGGTCTTTACCTCCCCTCGTTCTCGACGAACTTGGTGAGTGGTGCTGACCTCCAGGATGCGGGTGTCCACCAGTTCACCCCTGCTCGTCAGCGGGTGACCCACTGCACGGAGGCGGATACAGGTCGCCACCTGGCTACGTTTACACGTCGGCCAGGGTCGAGCCTGTACACTCTGACCACTGCTTCTCCTCCAGGTGCTGAGTTTGATAGGGTCACTTCGTCTGGTCAGGTGTTTGCTGCAGCGTCCAGGTCTGGTCCTGAGTCTGCCCCCTGCTCGTGCCGTCGTCTGTCTCACGAGACCCTCCTCTGGCACCACCGCCTTGGCCACCCCTCTCTGCTTCGGCTCAGGGGCATGGCCTCGCGAGTCCTTGTGTCTGGTCTTCCCCGGTCTCTCCCTCCCCTTCCTCCGGGCCCTGGCCCCACCTGTGTCCCCTGTGTCGAGGGGCGCTAGCGTGCTGCCCCTCACTCCTCCCAGTTTCCTCCGACAGAGGCCCCGTTGCAGACGCTTCACATGGATGTGTGGGGCCCAGCCCGCGTCCGTGGACAGGGTCAGGAGCGCTACTTCCTGCTGGTGGTTGACGACTACTCGCGTTACACCACAGTCTTCCCCTTGCGCAGCAAGGGTGAGGTCACTGCGGTGTTGATCGACTGGATCCGCGCAGCTCGTCTCCAGCTTCGGAGGAGCTTTGGCTCTGACTTCCCTGTTTTGCGTCTGCACTCGGACAGAGGCGGAGAGTTCTCCTCCGGCCTCCTGAGTGCCTACTGTCGTGCGCGAGGCATCCGTTAGACCTTCACGCTTCCGGACTCACCGCAGCAGAATGGGATTGCTGAGCGCCGCATTGGCATGGTCATGGACGTCGCTCGTACGTCCATGCTGCATGCGGCTGCTCCCCATTTTCTGTGGCCGTTTGCGGTCAGGTACGCTGCGCACCAGATCAACCTTCACCCCAGGGTCTCTCGACCGGAGACCTCCCCAGCCCTGCTGTGGACGGGGAAGGTTGGCGATGCGTCGGCGTTCCGGGTGTGGGGATCTCGGGCGTTTGTTCGCGACCTGTCTGCGGACAAGCTGTCCCCTCGTGCTTCTCCCTGCGTCTTCCTGGGGTTCCCCCCCGACGCCCCTGGGTGGCAGTTTTACCACCCCACCTCTCGACGTGTTCTGTCCTCCCAGGACGTCACGTTCGACGAGTCGGTACCCTACTACCGCCTCTTCCCCTACCGCACTCCGTCCCTCCCCCCACCCCCGCTCTTCTTGGTACCGGGTCCCCCCCCGGTAGTCCCCCTCCCCCCTCAGGGTCCTGCCCCTTCAGGTGTGTCCCAGGTAGACGCGGTCGAGCCTGTCGAGGTCACTGGTGACTCTGGTGCTGCTGCGGGAGCTGAGCCTGGGGGTGCGGAGTCTGGGGGTGCTGAGCCTGGAGGTGCCGAGTCTGGGGGTGCTGAGCCTGGGGGTGCTGTGCCTGGGGGTGCTGAGTCTGGAGGTGCCGAGTCTGGGGGTGCTGTGCCTGAGGGTGCTGAGCCTGGGGGTGCTGAGCCTGGGGGTGCTGAGCCTGCGGGTGCCGTGCCTGGGGGTGCTGTGTCTAGGGGTGCTGAGCCTGGAGGTGCTGTGCCTGGGGGTGCTTCGTCTCGCCGGGAGCCACTCTCCCCACAGGAGCTGCGTGAGTGGTTTGCCGGGCGCTGGAGGCGTGCTGCTGGTGCTGGTGGTTCTTCGGCTGCAAAGGGTACTGCTGCTGCGCGCCCCGCCGGCGCTCGTACTGTGGGTGCTGGAGCTGCTGAGTCTGAGAGTTCTCCTGGAGCTGGTCCTGCT